TTCAAGAATCCGGCGAAACCAGGTGTGGCCATGGCGGTTGTGGGAGGAGAAGACAAGTACAAAACCACCTCTTTATTGGCGGCGGATTGCGCAACCTGCATCTTCGATTCGATCAACGATGCAGCAGAAGAGAAGATGAAGACGAGGAAGGAGTACGGAACTTTGGATTGCTCAGCCAAGGGATTGTTCCATGGGAATGGGATTGTATGCAAGAAGTGAAAAGATGGATCTTTAAAGAATATTGAAAATAAAATCATTGTAAATGATTAAAAAACCATGTATAACATACTTATAGAAAAAGAGATTTTTATTAAAAAAAAAACTGGGTTTGACTTGTAACTAGGGGTGAGGATAGATTGGTACCCGCTCTATTTGACAGAAACCGGAACCGGAATCGGAACCGACGGTTCTTGAGATATTGGAACCGGAACCGGAACTGGAACAGGTTAGAGCGGTTCTTGAATTTTTGGAACTGGAATGGGAACCGCCGGGAACCGGTTCCGGTTTCGGATACCCGCTTTCTAAAAATATTAAAATTTTGTTATTTAGAAATAAAAAATAAAACATTGCCAAAACACTAAATAAATAAACAAAAATACAAATTATATGAAATAATGGTTACAAATATTATTTAACGATTACATACTATACTTGTAAATGTTCAAAGTTTAACGATTATATACTACGTATCCAATTAAACACATAATTTGAAAAAAATACGAATCATTTTATCTCGTGACTGTGATGATTTTGAATCTCATTTCAAATTCTCATGGTGAGAGGCCTCAGGCCCGAGAGTATGAGGCGTAGAGGCGGGACCAAAAACCTAATCTAGAATTCTAAGTTTTTAACCTAATTTAAATTTAGTATTAAAAGAAAACTAATTATTTTTTTAAGTGAAAAATACCGGGTACCCGCCGGTTCCGGTTCTGGGTACCCGGTCCCGAAACCGGTTCCGACGGGTAACGGTTCCGAAAAATTGAGAACCGGAACCATTCTCAATCGATTCCGTATTTTAGGAACCGGAACCACTCATATTGGTTCTAGTTCTGGAATCGGTGGTTCCAAAGCAGTTCCGGTTCCGCAAGTGGGTACCCGGTTCCGCTGTTCACCCCTACTTGTAACCAGATATGAGACTAGGCATTGGAATGGGACGGAGAATTTCATCCCCGTCTCCGATCCTAATCAACGTCCCCATCCTTGTCGACATTCTTATTGGGGAATATGATGGCATCCCCATCTCCATCCCCAATAAGGTACAGAGATCCCCATCAGGGAATTGGGTATTTTTTTTGTTCGTTAATATAAGATATTTTAAATCAAATGTGTTAAACTTCACACTTGATCGATAATGGTTGATGTTTAAAACTTACATATTTTCAAATTTTGTTTTTATAGAGTATCAAATATTCATATATGAACAAAATCACATCAAATACGTAATTATTTGATTAAACGCTTTCGACTTTCAACGTTTTTTATCTAAAAATAAGTAAAACAACTCAGAGAATATGTATATAAAATAAATGTCAAAACACCATTATTAAATTTAAAAAATATTAAATCTAATTATTTATAAATAGTATATTATATATAATATTTAATATCCGAGGACAATGCAAGGTGGGGACCACGTAACCCATCCCCGATCCCTGGTTTGTGGGAATCCATGTCCCATCAGTACGGGTACACCGGATTCCTCCAATAAAACGGGTCTCATTCCATGCCTATTTGGGACCATGACCGATAAGATAACCGACCTAGTTGGTCCTATGATTTTTGGTGGGACCGAAACTGGTTGACCCGATTTTGAAGGGTTCAATGCACTGGTACAACCAAATCCATGATCGATTTTTGACTATTTGTAGTTCTCTACGGTGGCCGGTGAGTGAGAAAGAATGGATTAATGCCGCCCAATAGACCCAAATGAATTGAATTGGGCTGGGCTGGGCTTTTTCATTAATCCCAAATCCCAATCAAAACCGAAACTAATTAAATCAGTGTCTGGGCTCTTTGATAAAAGCCCAAATAGTTCTATTTGAAAACCGACCATCCAGCCACTTAATGGAGATCGGAGAATGGCGGTGGGCCCACCGCAACAGATCTCACCGAATTACAGATGGGCATCTCCCACCTACGTGTCACCGACTTCTCCTTTCTATTCTTTCTCCCTTCTTCCAGATCCACAAAACCAAAATCCACACCACCTCTGCACAACTGATTCGTCTACTATGCATTAATATGCGTAAACTACTCTGGATTAAGTAATCTTGATTCTGGCAAAATCCTGCAATTTCTTACGTACAAAATCCCTTCAAATGTGCTCTCTTTCTGGATTGGCTGTCACCATTTTGTTCGCTAACTTTCCCTCTCCACCATCCTTTTCCCATTTTCAAGATTCTTTGAAAATCATCAAAAACTAAAAATCCCGGAAAACTTACCCACCGGCAACAATCCGATCACCGGAGAAGACAACAATGGCGCGTGGTCTCTTCGCTTGCTTTCCGAAACGCTCTTCCTCCACCTCCTCTTTAGATATCAACAAAACAACCACTTCACACGACAACGCCACGGCGGATCTGACGGCGGAGGAGTTACGGCGAGGAGGGCCGGTGATGGTGGAGCTATTCTCGTCGCAAGGATGCGGTACTTCGCCGGCGGCAGAGCTTCTGTTGTCGAGGGTTGGAAGGGGAGATTTCAATCTGGAGGTGCCAGTGATTTTAATGGCGTTTCATGTGGATTATTGGGATTATAATGGGTGGAAAGATCCATTTGGGTCGAGCCAATGGACGGTGAGACAAAAGGAGTATGTGGAATCGTTAAATCTTGACACCATGTTTACACCTCAGGTGGTGATTCAGGGCAAATTCCAGTGTATCGGAAACGATGAAGATGCTTTGATATCTTCAATCATCTCTGCTTCAAGATACCCTTCTCCGGCGTTTCAGGTGATGATTTATATCAACCCTAATTTGGAAGTTGTTATTTCATATGGAATTTGGTTTATAGATTCATATATACGTACAGTATCATATATAATATATAATATATCGATTATGTTAATGTTTTTCCTATGGTAAAGTAGGAATTTTTAAGACAAGGGTTCGAATCTTGTCGATTTTCTTGATTTTCCGGCCAACTTTCTTGCAAACATGTTTTGATTTCTGTAAAATATTTAAAACGGCGAATTTGGTTGATCTCTGATGTATTTTTTTTTAGAGTAAATTATGTTTTTGTCTGGTTTGTAATTTATTGTTATTAGAAAGGTAATCGTATACATTTCGATTTTAATGTTATGGTTTTTTTGTCTTAGACGGTATTATAATACGGTTTTATGTGATTATGTTTTTATTTTTTAATAAAATATAGATACGAAGATATCATAAAATTTTAAAAATATATATATTGATATTTGTATCGAAACTAACAATTTAAATTTTCAAATGAAATGTTTATCCTCTATTTGATTATGTTTATCTATAGTTAGTTACACGAGTTTAAACATGGAGCTTTAATAAATTGTAATTGTTCATAATTTATTTGTAATCTTAAATTTTAAGTAATATGCATCAATAAACAGTACTTGATGCATAAAAAATGGTTTTTAAGAGTTTTTGTCAAATGTTTTATAATATAGTATAGATGTTTGTTCTTATAATTTACAAATTTTTATTCTTTTAGTCCTTGTGGTTACAATTTTGTACCGTTTTACTCCTTTATACTTGAAAGTAGGAATTAGTCAAGAGACGAAAATAGCGATTTCTAAACCGTAGGTAATCTTTCACATTCAAAAAAAGATTCGAGTTGCGAAAATCGTCGAACCAGCGCATGGAACCCGCTGAGGCCTTCAAGGTCCGCCCATGCTCGAACCTATAAATAATTGGATTGAATTGTTTGATGGTTGTAGGCGACATTCGAGAGGCCAACGCCGGAGTCTTTGCAGATCTCCCTAAAAGGATCGTTGAGGACCAAGGTAGAAGGGCCGGGAGCAGACATCATGGTGGCAATCTGCGAGAGCGGGCTCGTGACCGACTGCCGGAACGGAGAGAACAAAGGGCGAATGCTAGCTAATGATTTCGTGGTCAGAAAGCTTGCGAAGCTCTGCTCGGTCAATGCCGTCCCTCCCAAGAAGACACTTACCGGAACCCTCGATTTTAGCCTTTGGCAAGGTTTCAACAGCGCCAAATGCGGTTTGGTCCTGTTTGTGCAGCAACATGGATCTCGTCGTATATTTGGCTCCCAACGCATTCCCCTACCTGCAAATATCTGAGTTGGTGTTTTCGTAACGGATTAATTTGTTTGACCATCGGGTTACGATTTTTGCGTGTTTGAATGATTGAAGTAGCTCGATCGATCTCCCAGCTTTCGTTGTACAGTTTGCTGTGGGGGAAATTGACCTGTTTGATAGTTTGATCATAAGTTTGTGGAATTTGGTTACTTTAAATCTAATAGATTACATCATGAATTTAAGGGTGCGTTTGGTACAATAGATAGGACAAATAGGGACCATTGTTTCACGTTTGGCAAGGCTTTTATGTACTTATTCCACCCCACGACCCCACCTTACGGAACAAGGTGAAATAGACTTATGTTTTACTGATATAATGTCAAATTTAAACCTAATTCACTTCTAAAATATCAGATGTCTTCCTCTTTATATTTTATTTATTTTTTAAAATATAAGTTGGAAACTACATGAACTTTTAATTTTGGTGTCATTTTTCTAATGATATATTTTGTTATAAAAATATTTATTTTATTATAATTTAATAAATTATATGATTAATAAAATATATAAACAACTCATTAGGGGTAAATTTCATCATTTTATCTATTATGTCTTATTTAATTTTTTTTCTTACCAAACACTGAACAATTGTCCTGTTCTATCCCATATGGATACCAAACGTATCCTAACAAACTTATATATATATATATATATATATATATATATATATATATATATATATA